TTCACTGCTGTGTGTGTGCACTTTGGATGGGTTAAATGCAGAGCACTAATTCCAAGTATGGGTCACCATACTTGGCCACATGTCACTTCACTCACTCACTCACTTATATTATTATTTTTTTATTTTTTTCATTCATGAACTGGTTTATGGGCTATTTTGCTTCCATAACATGTCTTATTTCAGACTAATGGAAAGAAAGCATCCAAAATACACATTTAAGTGTTTATTAAACTTCATCTATTTCCGTCTGTATATTTAATTTATAATGCACAGGGATGCAAACTTGTCACCTTTCGGCGGAATTCGCCGTTTTTAATTCAAAATGGGTCATTTGTGTGATTCGTGTAGATCCAGTGAGTGCGTGTCTTTTTCACCCAAGATGAGTTTGCATCCCTGATGCATATCTTTAAAGACTGTTTTCTCAAAATTAGTTTTTTTTTCTCCACTTAACACTTACATACACCAGAATTTGTTTTATTACTCTCTATATTCTGAAGGTTTTTACAGAGGGGTTTGTTTGATTATATATTTAACGCCTAAAACGTGATTTTATGACTGTATTTTCAGATTTATGGAGTGATAAAACGAGATATCCCAAATCCCCTCGATAAAAACCTTTAATACAGTATGTAAACAAAATGCCTGCAAAACCTGGCTTTATCGAGTTGTTTTGGAAAATAATGCAAAATAGTGCATGTTTAATTAGGTATTGCATCATTTGCATACTTTTCCGAAAACGTACATAATAAAAAAATCTTGTACTGTGATTAATCAAATGGGGAGATACTGTGATATCGATTTGTTAATTTTTACCCTATCCACTTGTGGTGTCTTGCTTAAAAACACTTAAAGGGGTCATATGATGCTTTTTTAAAGATAATTTTTTTTGTGTATTTGGTGTAACAGAATATGCTGACATGCTTTAATGTTCAAAAAACACATTATTTTTCAAATACTGTACATTATTGTAGGTCCTCTATGCCCCGCCTCTCTCAAACGCTTCGTTTTCTACAAAGTCCCTCCTTCCGACAAGCACAGTCTGCTCTGATTGGCCAGCTGACCCAGTGCATTGTGATTGGCCGAACACCGCAAGATCTCGTCGGAAATGTAACGCCCCTTACCATAATCGTGAGCTTCATCTTTCAAAATAAATGTAAAGACAGAGCCCGAAAGGGCAACAGAGTCGCGTTACAGACACAGTGATGAAGCTGGTCTCTCTCGCTCTCTCTCTCACACACGCACGCACGCACGCGCACACACACACACACACGATGACACACAATGCGCAAAACTCCGCATTTGAACAG